AAAAAGAATCACATGCTGTGTTCATGTGCTGCCATATGGCAAAGCCAGAAAAACTGGCAACAGGGAGCTGAAGTCACACACAGAGACTCAACTACACTGACTAAAAAGACGCCCATCAGGGTATTTGCTTTATAAAACTCAAATGATATGATGAAATCATACTGAGATGTATACCTTTTGTAATGCAGTTTCCCGTATTGGTGACAACAAACAAACTCTCAGTAATAAGTCTTACCTGAATGGTTTTGTAATTTAATTGATATTGAAGAATGGCTTCACACAGGTTCCAGAAGGAGTACTCCGGCCACAGAACTGACTGAAACACTAGACAGGAGTGGGAAGTCTGCAGGAAGGAAGAAAATCTATATCAGACTCAGAGCGGACAATATGATTGAGTCGCATTTTGTCTGTTTTGTTACTGTCTATTATAGATTAGACCTCTAATTTAGTGGATCATACATTGTTGTTACAGGAATAAAAGCAATCGTAAAAAATTGGATGTGAAAACATAGATGGTCTGTGTTCCTTAGAGAAGTCCTATGATCTAAACGTGTGGTTGATATTCAAGAAAATGCAAAATAGAAAAAAAATTCCCCTGTATTGTGTTACAGTCATAGCTGGCATGTTTACGTCGTTTAAGACACATGCTTTATAAAATAACCCTTTACTAAAATTGTTTTTATTGGTAAAATCCAATGGTCAAATCTCATCTGTAATGGCTGCTACATTGCAGGCAAAGACATAAAGAATGCGACAGTAGCCAAACTCTCGAACACAAAGCCTTACTTCAAGCTGTTGCAGATATTTTTGTTGGCATCAATGACAGATTTGGGGTAATATCGACATAAACTAAAAGCAATGTTTGAAAACCTATTGAGCAACATAACCTGAAATACAAGTCTAACTGCCAGGGTAACGTACCAAGTAAGTTTGGAGATTCACATCTCCACTCTTATTTTAGTTTTTTGATTTTATTTAAGTGACATGTCTCAAGGGGCACATTACACACAACAGTTCTCATCTGTAGTAGCCTTCATGTTTCCATGCAGTCCTTCTCATCCTCACCTGCCAAAGGAGGAAGTCGCTGAGGCGCACCTCTCCAGAGGTGCGGATGAGCAGGTCAGGATTAGGAGAATTATTGCTGTACAAACACTCACTTAGCAACGCCTCTGAAACATCACTGAGCACGACAAAACAACACAAACACAGCTTGTTAAAGCAAAAGCTCCGCAGGTCATTATGGATGTTGGTATGATATCAACAAGATCAAATCAGTTTGGTCTTTGTCATTGTTTACCTTGCTTTGATCAGACCCTGCTCCACTCCCCAAGCCATTTCTCTGACTGCATTAGTGATTTCATATCTTGAGGTGTAGGCAAAACACACATTCAGGAAACATCTGAAAAACAAGCATTTTTATATTTCTGGTCATTTACAATGTATAAATATCAAATATTTTTTATTTATATAATTAGATGTAATATGGCTAACACAGTAGTAAAGTCACTAATAGTGAGAGTTATAGAAGCAGAGGTACAAATAATTAAAACACATACTTATTGTGTGCCTTGGTTGTGACCACAGCTTTGGCAATGAGTTGCTGAAGGTCGAGTGGCAGCATGTTCAAGTCGCCCAGCACCCGGATACACACACCATGCTTCTCTAGATTGTCCCTAAAGAAGGGGGGAGACAAGAGAGGTGTGTGAGGGAGTAGACAAATCAAGAAAAACATGAAGAAGAACAGGAAGAACAAGATGATTACTCTATTTTTCATGTCTGCTGAAACGTGTCCACCTGCATTTCCCTCCCAGAGATACACAAAGGTGTCTACACGTAGGAATTTCCAAGTGGTAGTCAGTGAGTACAGATTCCCTGAAGCAGTCTGCAGTCAAATGTTTTGCATAAAGTTGGTCTGTCAAGTGTTGGTGTTAACAGAAACCACATTTTCTTACAGTGTTACGGATGTGGGGGAAAATCTAATTTTAGCAATTAAGGAACAGCGATGAAGGGCGAACAAGTGACAAGCACCAAAACATGAAGAAAAGTCTGGCAATCTACGACCAAAGTAGGGCAACATCTAGTGGCCATTTGTGGAACTATCTTTAACAGTCACTGTGGTAGTTGTTGATGGGTATAAAGTGTTTCTGTATTTGCACCATAGTAGGACCATAGTTACAGTATAATTAGAGGCAACATCTACAGTTGTAAATTATATATTCTGGCATATTGCAGGAAAAAAAGTCAGTAAAAGCCAAAATAACAAGGGAAATAATTGGTATTGTGCACTCCTATTTATAAGTCAGCCCTTCTTCCTCTTGGTCATTCTGGCATCAGTCCACAGTGTATCTTTTTCAGTGGCAGGTGTGTCTGTGTCAACTGTTGTCATATCCAGTTGCAGCAAAAATGGCCAATATTGTCCTCAGTGTGAACGCTTGGAAATTATTATAACTACGTTAATTTAAAAGCCAATTTAACATGTTGTTTGAGTTCTTGTTCCAACTGGCTACTTACTCCTCATCTGAATTTAATTTCTGTTCATTTTAGCAAAGGTTGAAACCTAAATATGTAAGTTTCAGTCTTGCAAACAGACTTAACTTACTTTACGGAGTACAGCAATGCTTGAGCACTGCGTTTAATTCCTCTAGACTTTACTTTGAGGAAGCTGTGAATCATATGATGCATTAAAATGTGACCTGTCCCACAAGCGACAGCAAAGTGAAAAACAATCTTTAGAAGCCTCAACTTGAAAACTCACCGTTCCTCCAACAGCTTCACAAATTTCTGCTTGGCCAGCTCCATCAGCCCATCCACCTCGTCTTTAGTGCGCTTGAAGTTCTCGATGCTGAAGGCGTACACTGTAACCTCTTGGATGTTCAGATGCTTACACCAACGCAATGTCTAGTGTGGACGGAACAAGAGGGTTACGCACATACACGGGGAACCTGTTTTATGCCTAGATGACGTGTGTTTGAGAAGACGGGCTTTAATCACCTCTGCCAGCTTGTTGAAGCCCTGCATGTGCCCTTCCTGGCGCTCCATGTGTTTCTTACGTGCGAAACGACGGTTACCATCCATGATGAAGGCCACATGTTTAGGCATGGGTCCAGCCTGTGGGACACAATGCACATCAGGGGATTCAGGAGAGATTCGCCTTATATGAGACATTAGGGTCAAGAAACCTGAAACGACTAGTCTACCGGAAAAAAAAAAAGTAACAAGACAACAATTGTGGTAATCAATCAACAAACAAGCTTTTTGAAGACATCAACTCTGGCTCTGTAAGCGGTTCATCGATGCTTTTAGGTGACAGAAAATGGCCGCAATTTGTGCCCATCATGTATCAATTCAAGTCAGTCACACAAAAAAAAAGCAAGCAATCTTTGAAAACCCTTAGCAGTGCTCTGGAGGTATTTCCAGGATCCTTTCCATCAGGCAGTGTGATGATAAAAGATTTTAAACTCACTTCTCAAGGTTCAACTACTGGTTTATCTCAAATCCAGGAAGCCAGAAATCATACCGTACTTGTTTTGTACAACACAAGACAAACATTCAACACATAACTGTAAAATGCAAAATATTAAATAATACAATGCAACATCATTATGTGGGCTAATATCATTGATAGGAACGTTTTTGGGGGTTCAGGTCATACAGATTGAGGAGGAGATTTAATTTCCAGCTATCTTTGTGCAGATTTTGAAAAATACTGGTGCAACTTGAGACATTCGTTTAACATATTTTTCACTGTGTAGATGGTTAATAAAAGAGTCTTTAAGGAGTCTGGAAACGTTTAGTGCTCAGTGACTCTTAAAACTGCAGCTCTGTGACTCAAATGTTGGCAAGATATGATAGCCACTAACTCCCCTAACATGAGAACATAAAGATTTAACGAGCTTACCTTCAAGATATTGGCCGAAATCTTCTCAAGCAGGTTTAATTCCCCTTCCTTTATCCACGACATTTTCAGACTGCAACGGTCCAAAGCAAAAGAAGTGATTAAAATGGTTAAAAAAGCGGTTTATCACTGTTAACCTAAAAAGAACCAAGCTTACACTAGACAGAAAAAACAACCACGTTACCGAAGACACAACGAGAAAACGACCTGAATGTGTTATTAACGTGTCAGTCACAAGACAACATTTCATCTTCTGTTGCAGCAGGTGATTGATTTTCTCCGGTTAACTGTCAGTCTGGCTGCTCTGAGGCTATAAAAGCACAAACACAGCAACACATCGTCCAGAAAACATCTACTCCTAATGGAAAGTGCCTCACTCATTCAAAGTATTTGACGACACGGCGCTCTGCTCGAGAAATGACTATAATTTGATCACATCTCACAGATCTTCCAACTCACAGCTTTTACGATGACGACCTCTTCCGCGTTGGAGTAAAGTGACGTATGCGGTCGGTGACGACTTCCTGTCAGGTGGTTGGTAGATTTAAAAAGTATGTGGATGGACGCGACCGTTGACAGCGGAGCCGTTGATAAAGATAAAGATAAACAAAAATAAAATAAAAATAAACAGAAATTAAATTAAAATAAACAAAAATTAAATTAAAATAAACAAAAATTAAAATAAAATAAACAAAAATAAAATAAAAATAAACAAAAATTAAAATAAAATAAACAAAAATAAAAATAGACATAAAAATAAAGATAAAAAATAATAATAAAAAAATAAATAAATAAATAAATAAAAATTAAAATAGACATAACAATAA